AAAAAAAAAAAGAAAGAAAGAAAAAGCCATGAAGGCTATGTTAACCAGTTTGATGAAAATATTTCAAATTGTATATAAAACCAGCACATTGTACCCATGATTGCATTAATGTATACAGCTATGATTTAATCTAAAAAAAAGAAAAGAAAAGAATTTCTACAAGTGTGTATGTTTCTGAGAACAAAAAAATTGAAAATTTGGAGCCAAAGGAATCCCACAGGCAGTCTGGTTGAGGCAGGCCACCAGGTGGCACTGTGCATTCTCCCATGATGCCGAAGCCACCTACCCAAGTCTCCCTGTCTATTTCTCCATCACTTCCTTTTTTCCTTCTCTGCAATCTTGCGTGTTGCACAACTTATTAATTACAAGAAATACCAATCTTTTAAGCATATGTTCTATCCAAAGCAAATCAGTCATTCATTTTATTTTGCAAACGTTGGTCAGGCATCACTCATATGCAAAGCTTATCACACAGGGATGAGTAGACCAAGACTCACCACTTTCACGAAGTCAATAATCTAGAGAGGGCAGCAGTCCTAACAGCCAGTGATTATGATCACAGAATGGCAGTGTTTGTGGAGGCCTTCATTTTCTACAAAGGACCGTGTACTTCAAAGGGATTCCCAGGAGGCAGAGAAAGATAACAACTAGATGTTGAGATGCTCACCAGGAATTTCCAGAGGGAAGTGGAAGCTAGGGACTTGGTGAGGTGAAAAGCTGGGTTCACAAGAGATGGAAGAGGGGGAAGGACTGGGAAAATAGAAGCCAAGGAACAGAAAAGGAATGTCAGCTTTCTAATTTGGAAGGTAAAGTTTCCTGGAATTTACAAGGCTTATGAGCAGGTAGCAAGGTGGAAACAGGAGCAGGTGTTCAGACGTGGGAAAGCCTCTGATTGAGGATCTGAGAGGCCAGGTAACTGAAGGGGCCTCACTGTGGATGTGGAACAATCCAACATGGGGCCAGGGTGTGGGGCTGCCTTGGACCAAGTGTCTCAGAGACCTGGTAATGACCACCAGGATGCAGCAGGTGGTCAAGCCTTGGTGTGGACGAAGTGCAGAAGTGGAGGGACAACAGTCTGAAGTTACCTGCAGATAACTTCTCTGAGCTACCCCAGTGCACCAGAGATTCAGAATGAGCAATGAAGGACACAGAGGATGTCAGAGGCCTGTTTTCAGGAGACCCAGATCCAGAGATGTCCCTGAAAGAGTACCTGGGAGCCATAGCAAGGACTAAGGGAGGGAGGAGAGGAAGAGGCAGCAAGTGGGGTGGTGCACTGGGCCCAGGAGTCAGCTTCCCTCTGGAGAGGGGGACCTAACTTCAGGCACTGGGAGAGCAGGTAAACCAGGAGACAGCCCTGTGGTACTCATGGAACCCAACAACATCCCATCAAAACGTAGAATCAACACTAGAAATGGCTTCACAGTCTGCTGTCCCAGCCTCCTCCTGTAATGGACAAAAGAATGGAGGCTGGAGCACAGAAACGGCCTCTAAAGTCACTCAACAAGTACCAACAAGTACCAACAAGTCTGGCCAAGCCAGGACTGGACTCCAGTTCTCTGCCCCTCCACCCAGAGTGCTGCTGAGCTCCTCATGCGCCTCATGTGACACCCACACTCCAACAGAAAAGGGCAGAGCACCCTGAAAGGCAACAGCAGATGGGCTGCAGAGAAAGGGCAGGACACAAACACAAAATACACACAGTCCTGAGTGGACGGCAGGTTTGCTTGCAGCCCCGGGACCCCCCACCCCCCCCCCCCCCCGGGGCCCAGGCGCCCCCCCCCCCCCCCCCCCCAAAGTGCCCGGGCGAACCGCCCCCCACATACCCTGCTTGTCTATTTTCCCATTTGTTTTTCACCCTGCTAAGGAAACCATGCCCTTTTCTCCCAATGACAACTCCAGAGTCACTGTGCAGAGCCAGGAAAATTGGCCCCAAATTGGCCCAATTCCAGCCCCAGCAGTTTCCCTGGAAAATCAGTACCTTGAGGAAAAGACCCCTCCCACACCCATTAGTTCAGTCTCTGCACTGGGTTGGCAGCAAGGAGGCAAGTAGGGGCTGAGGCACCCACTGTCGGGCCAGGGAGTGTCAGAAGCTGCCACCTCAGCCCTGGCCTCACCTAGGCGTGGGACTATCTGGGACCTGGGGCCCCACTGTGGCTTTCTGAGATGAGAGCGTCAAGTGCCCCTGAGTGACTACTCACTCCCACCGCTGCCTGCCTGTCTCTCCCACTCCCCATGCGCCAGCACCCTGCCAGCACTGTGGTCACAGTCAGTGACTGTGCAGAAAGTTCCAGGGCAAAGGGCAGCAGACCAACACTCACCTCACACACACTCATTTCCTTCCTTACTCGTGCACCCCCACATTAGCCTGGGGAACAGCTGCACCCTGCCTGGAGGGGCCTGAAGGCCGAGCTCCAAGATGCCACACAGCTGCCGGCACAGCACACTTCACTTTACACACTCCCTACTTCCTTTTTAATGTTTTTGTTTTCCTTTAAAATTGGTTGGCAAATCTTACAAACAGTTTTCACATAAGCGTTCAGATTTCCTGGGCCTTCAGGAGATCCCGGCCTGCTCTGCTTTCCTACAGGCTGCCTGAGCCATTTGCCAAAGTCCTCACCACTGCCCTGTATCTCCAGCCCTGAGGCCCCAGGTCCATGGCCTTGAGCTGCCCACTGGTGCTATGGATATCCTTGCACCTGCCAGCTCCAACTCCTCCCTGCTACTGCAGGGAGCCCAGTGTGAAAAGTGCCCCACAGGGACCTGCAGAGGGTTGCAGAAGGTGTGTAGGCAGGGCACCGGCAGGGCCTCACCGGGCTCCTCACAGCCTGAGCAGGGCCAGCAGGGCCAGCACACGGGATGCTGCAGGCTGCAGTCTGCAGTCTGCACTTCATCCAGCCTGACCACTGGGGGCAGACATGGTTACAGAATGGATCTAAAGTCCTCAATCGTGTGTTCCGAGGCTGTGTCTACACTGTTCTTCATTCACAGATACTTCACTCATTCAATCCTGCATTTAGCCTGGCCCTGTCTTAGCCACCAAGCTTTTCAAAAGTGATTTGGAACATGGGATAAGAGATGATGTGCCCCTTCTGTGTTGTGACTCACTCACCAATTCCCCAATCTTTGGCCTCATGGTGAATGCTTAGCCAATGCTGGTTGCATGAATGCATGAAAAGGTAACTGACAGTGATAGCTTCATTTACTGAGCTCTTCCCACTTTACATAGGCTGTTGCAACCTTCAAAGTAGGTCTTATTATAATCCTACTTTACCAATTAGAAAAATTCAGTACAGAGAAGTTAAATAAATTGCCTAAAGTCACACAGCAAATCTGAACTCAACCGTGTGTTGGCAGTGCAGGCAGAGTACACAGGGCCCAGACTTACACACACAGGGGCTCCTGTGGTCTTTCAGAATGGAGAATGAGGAGCAGCTGAGGCGGTGAGGGAAGTATGAGTGGAGGCTAAACAAAGGGACTAGTGGGCATAGAACCACCTTCCCTGCCGGAAAGAGAGGCAGAGGTGAGGGCTCAGAGTGGACCCTCCCTTCACACTTCCTGGGACAAGGGGCCAGATGCCAGCAAGGACACAAGATCACTCAGCAAATCAGGGGTCCCACATGCCAAGCCCTGGATGGTGTGCATGGGAGCATATAAACATGAATGAGAAGCGCCCTTGGAGGGTCTATAGCCTATTATTAGACAGAGGCCAAATGTGTAAAGAACTTTACCCCTGGAAGACGAGTATTAAGAGGCAGAGGTGTGGGAACTCAGGGAACTCAGGGGCTGTATCCAAATGGGAAGAGCTGAGCAAACTTCCTGGAAGAGGCTGCATTTGGAGTCAGCAGTCCTGTGGGGCAGGCAGGCAGGGTCTCACCAGTGTTGTGGAGAAGGGCATTCCTGGGATGGCAAGGTGGGAGGTGGGCCTGTGTGCCCACAGGGCAGGGGGTGGGACTGAGTGAAATTCCCAGAGGGCTCTGTGTTGGGCAAAGCTGTATCATGGGCAATGGTGAGCCAGTGGGAGCTTGTAGCAGGGAAGGACTGTCTTGCCTCCCACAGGCCTTGCCCCCCCAGCATAAAAACAGCTATCTTCTAGGCCACGTGTCCCAGGGTCCCTCGCTGGAAGCAGGATGTAGAAGGGTGATCCTGAGAGTTACTACTCACACATTTTCCCCCGAGGTGTTCCTGGTCAGACCCAAGAGGGAGGTGTCATCAGAATCTCCCTCAACCAGGAACCAGGATGTCTGGGTCCAAATCCTGTTGTTACCAACCAACTATGTGACCTTGTGCAGGTCCTTCTCTGGGTGTCGGTTACATCATCTACAATGCAAATGGGTTGACCACTTTTAAGAACCCTTCTAACCCTGACTCCCACCCTGTGAATCTAAGAACTCCACACCAACCCCTCACCCTCCTAAGAGCACTTGTCACAGCCAGGACAGCAGGGGTTGCACTGATAGTGGTGACAGGCTGTCCTCATGGTGAGGCAGAGTGGGCCAGGCATCCCATAGGTCCTCAGCCCACCACCAGCCTCTAGCTGCCACAGGTGGGATGGTGCCCACAACCCCAGTGGGGACAAGACCAGAAAGGTGACAGAGGTATGGCAGGCTCACTGGCTCACAGAGAGAACGAGGACTGGGGGGGTGAGTTGGTGAAAAGAACCGCCCTGCAAGCTTCCTCCCAAACCAGCCCCAGGCCAGGGCTGGGAATTTCACAAAATAGCAGAAGGCCTCTGTGAACATTTCCTGCCCCGCCCCAGCCCCCTTCCTGGCAATGTTACCACAGGCTCACCTGTGAGGCAATCGTGCCAGGAGAGGGCTGAGCACCCCCAGGGTGGCCTATAAATGCTGAGCCTGCTCTGCCCTGTCCACTCTCTGTGCGATTCTCAGCTTTGGTGAGTGCGGCCAGCTGCCCCACGGGACCCTGCCTGCCAGCTTCTTCTTCTCTTCCCTCTTCAACTTACTTCCAAACTCTCCTCCTGAAAGCCCTCCTTGGTTGACTGTAAAGTTTTCTTCACGTTTTCTTAGGTCAGGTTCCACTGGAGCCTCCTGCCCCCTGATGCTTTGATTTGGGGCCTTCTCCCCACACTCTATAAACTCTTTTTCACGCTGTGAGACAGGTGATGTTTCTGCTCAGCAGCAGCTTGCACGTCCTTTATTGTGTGTTTCCCTAGCTCCTGTGAGCAGAGGCAGGAGCTGGTGAGGGAGAGCGAAGGCCTTCCCTCCTAAGTCCCACAGCCCTCTTCTCCTTTAGGCAGACAGACCAGGAGGATGGCGACCGAGTTATCGCAGCTGGAACGCAGCATTGAAACCATCATCAACACCTTCCACCATTACTCCGTGAGGCAGGAGCCCCCAGACTCCCTGAACCAGAAGGAGTTCAAACAGTTGGTGAAGAAGGAGCTGCTGAACTTCCTCAAGGTAGGGCTGTGCTCCAGCAGGGCTCACCCAGCCTCAGCAGCTCGGGCTTAGAGGGGAGGACAGGGGGCAGTCTAGAGGAGCCAAGTCACAGTGTTGGCATGAACACCTGCCTTGTGCTGGGCCCTGTTCTGGGCAGGGGGGTGTCCTGGGCAGAGAAGCCCACTAACCCACGCACCACAAAGTTGTCGATAAATGAAGAGCTCAGATAAAGCCAAAGGTCAATGAATGCCTTAAAGAAAGTGAGACAGAGTACCAGGGGTAGTTTGGGCTGGGTGGGGAAGAGGAAGTAGGTTACTATGGGCAACACAGTCCTCTTTGAGGAGGTGACATTGGAATGAAGACCTGTGTGCTGGGAAGGGATGTACCTGAGGATGACACCTGGCAGGGAGGTGGGGGACACTGGGCCTCAGGAAAGGACACTCCGGAGGATGATACCTGGAGGGAAGCTGGGGGACACTGGCCCTCAGGTGGGAACATGCAGTAGCAGGTGTGAGTGTGGGGACCTTTGCTAATCATAAGGATCTATGAGGGAAACCAAGTAAACAAATAGCGCATGGAGGGCACCCGGCGTAGCACTGGCACATGCCAGGCACTCAGCAAAACGTGAGGTCTTTCCACCACCACTCCCATCAGAAAACAATTAGGTAATTCTGGGAACTTTCAACAGTCTTTTTGTTTTCTTTTCAAATTTGGGTAATGGGGGGAAATACAGGCCTTGATGAAGAAGAGTGGGAGCCATGGGTCCCAGTCTTTGTTCCAGTCCCACAGCCAGCCATCCAGGGGAGGTCCCAGGCCTCCTGCCTGCCCTCCTTCCTCATCCATGAGGTGGAAGGTCACAGCCGCAGGAGGTATTAGGGACACGGACAGCCAAGTGAGATGCTGATGAGGTAGACAAGAGAGGGTATGGGCAGGTGAGATGCTGTGTGGCAATGTCCCCTGCCCCAAGCAAAGTGACAGTCCAGGAAGGCAGGTGGGGGGCTGCTCAGGAGTGCCTGCTCCCACCAGCTAGGCACCCCCCACAGGCTCCAGGAGGGGCTTAGCTGAGGTGCCCTAGCCAATGGGTGGCAGAGCTGGAGCTTAGCTGGCCTTCTCTTGTGCTCCTGGCATTCCCATCCCACCTGCCATCTCTCCTTCCACACTTTGTCCCACCCTTCAGCCCACAGAGCACATACACTCTCTGCCCCTCAGGAATCTCCATTCTCTGTTTTCCCACCTTTCTGCTGTGCAGGTTGAAGAAACTTTCACAGAGAATGACCTAGGGGTGCTAAGGGAGTAAGCGTGGAGGGGACGGGATGGGACCCTAAGTCAGAGCAAGAGCAAATGACCCTCGCTAAGGCAAGGTTTCCTCAAGTCGTCCCCAAAGCAGACAACGTTCCTACCTGTTAAAGTTGTTACAGGACCAGATGAGGTGACCTTTCTAGACTTGCCAATCCTGTGGCCAAGCCCCTTGACCTCAGTTCCCTCTTCTGTAAGATAGAGGAAGTCACCAAGCCCAAGCCACGGGTTATGTGGAACGTGCACCGGGAGGTGTTTGGGGTGTGCTCCACACCTGCTCCACCCTGAGCACTTGGGCCATAGCCATTTTCAGTTTTATTTTGTTTTTAGATCAGTGGTTCTCAACCTTCCTAATGCTTCAACCCTTTAATACAGTTCATGTGGGTTGCAACCCACAGGTTGAGAACCGCTGTTTTATATCAATATAAGAAAACCTATGATTAGGTTATGTTGTTTGCATTTGTTAAGGTGAAGTCCAAGTCATTCTCAATTTCAAGGTGAGGCTGGGGCCAGGTGCCCCTGTACACTTGCTCTGGTGGTTCTCTATGGTCCCCAGCACTCTTCCGGCCACACCCAGCCCTAATAGCCCCTCTTCCCCACCCACAGAAGGAGAAAAAAAATGACAAAGTCATAAACCACATCATGGAGGACCTGGACACAAACGAAGACAAGCAGCTGTCCTTTGAGGAGTTCATTGTCCTGATGGCGCGACTGACCGAGGCCTCCCATGAGGAGATGCATAAGAATGCCCCCGATGATCCAGGCCACCACCACGGGCCAGGCCTTGGTGGTTCCTGTGGCCCCAGACCAGGCTCCGGAGAGGGTGGCCACGGCCATGGTCATGGTCACGGCCACAGCCACTAATGAGGAGGCCAGGCCACCCTGTGCCTGCCAGGCCAGAGCCCTGGGCTGGCATGTCAAACTGCCTTGGCTATGGAGCTGGGGCTGGGGCTGGGAAAATAAAGTCCTCCTCCTTGCCAGCACCTTGCGTGTTTCTTCCCCAGCCCGTGCTTACCAATAGCTCAACCTCCTCGTTCAGTAATGACAGAATGAGAAGCTGCCGTATAGGTGTCTGTGTTGAACCCCTGGACTTCAGGCCCCACTGCTCAGGGCCAGGTCACCCTATCCCATCTCAGATCTCTCTGCCCAGCCTGCCAAAATGGCCCTTGTCACTGCAGAAACCAGAAAGGGGGAGCTATCTTTTCCCCTCAACATGCCAGCCACCTTCCCACCCAGGCCACCTGTGCACTCATCACCACTCACACAGCCCACTGTCTCCCGCCAACTCCTTTGCCCTACAAGTCTTCCCAGAGTGGACCAAGATGGAGCTGTGACAGGGGATAACTGGGGAGGAATTCTGGCACCTCAGCAGTAGACAAAGACAGCCTGAGTGTGTTTACCCTAAATGCACTTTTGGGTCCAAAAGAGAGGTTAGGTCTCTCTTAGTAGACCCCACATCCTAACTGTGGGTGCTGGTAGCCACAGGGGTGCTCACAGGTGTGGAAGGCTGGGAGTCAGCCCACCCCCGGATCCCCACCTGACCATCCGAAGAAACAAGCTTGGTGACTACGATGAGGACTCTACACTGGGTCCAGAGAGCCTTTGGGGTCTAAAGATTAAGGGGGCCCAGCTGGCCAGCAGGGCCCCTACTTCTCTCCACAATCCCTGTAGCCAGACCTGGCCCAGCTCCCCCAGGGCTGCAGCTGACCCCCCAGTCCATCTCAGTGACTCTTCTGCCATCTTGTTCCCCTTTGGCCATAAAGTCCCTTTCCCTGGTTACAACCAGCAGGGATGGGCGTTCCAAAACCCTGAGCCTAGATCAGGGTCCTCTGACCCCCTGTCATTTTAGCAGACAGAAGACTCACAGCAACAGATGTGAGGGAGCTTGAAAGACCAGCAGTCCCCCCCACCCGCTCCCCGCCACGTTAAATGCCAAGCCAAGGCCCTCAGGGAGGAGAGAGAGCAGGACACACCTTGGCAGACTTGGTCACAAGAGCACAGTGACAGTGGGGCCGTGAACCCCACTGCTCCACTGGCTGGACCAGCCAGCTTCTTCTCCAGCAACGAGCAAGAAGATAGAAGGTGTGGGGTGGGATTTCAGCTCTCCCCTTTCTGCCCAATGCAGCTCTGCCCCTCCACCCCCACCCGCCTCTGGCAAACTCCTACTCTAAGGACTCAGGAGGCTCTGCTCTGGGCACAGGGATTTGAGGGCACAGGGTGTCTCCAGGATCTGTTTCAGGCTGTGAGCTTGGGCAGCAGAGTCGAGAAGCCCTCACCAGCCCCTCTGTGCCTGACTTGGAGACCAGACAGCTGAGGACACTAATTTTCTGACAGCCCTTCTGCCCCGTACTCATGTCCAGGGAAGAGTTACCATCTTCATCCCTTTTAAGTGCAGCTTGGCTGGGGGTGGATGTGGGAAGAAGCAGCCTAGGGGGCTGGAAGGACTGAGACCAAAAGCTTCCCAAGGTGTGAGAGGTGCCCCCACCCCCCTCCACCCACCACTTACTACAATGCCTGCTCCTCAAACCATGAGCTCCCTGAGGGCAAAGTCCATGGCATCTGTCTCAGTCTCAGCTTTATTCCCAATGTGTACACAGTAGGTTCTCAACAAACATTGACTATATAAATGTTCTAAAATTTCTCACATACTCCATGCTTCTTCACAGGGGAAGGTGTGAGGGAAGGAGGGAGCAGGAGAATGGGATTAAAACCTGCAAACGTATCATAAGGACATTGGCACTAGACTGTTGATCACAGCTCAATTTATAAACACCAAATGTGGAAACAACCTAAATGCCCACCAACCTAGAAATGAATTAACAAGCTGTAGTGTATGTATACCATGGAATACTATTTAAGCCATTTAAAAAGATGGAGACTTTACATCTTTTGTATTAACCTAGACAGAGGTGGAACACATTCTTCTTAGTAAAGCATCACAGGAATGGAAAAGCAAGAATCCAGTGTACTCAATTGTAATATGAAGGCAGTAAATGATCTAATACAAGGTGGGGTATAGGGGGATGAGCAAGTGGGGAGAGGGAAGGAGGGAGGGGAATGGGGGGTCATGGTGTTTGGCACACTCCTTGGGAGCAAGACACAATTATAAAAGGAACTTTAACAAATGCAATCAATGTAACCTAATTCTTTGTACCCTCAATGAATCCCAAACAATAAAAAGAGAGAGAGAGATGGGAATAAAAGGTATAGAAAACAAAAAAACCAAAAAATTGCAAATGGGAAGTTCCAGGAAGAACCTCATGAATCTACACCTGAAGGTAGGGGAAGCAAGCTTGTGGGCTCTGAAGGCCCCTCTCACTTTGTTCAATCAGAACAGCTGGATTTGAAGAAGATTTATCGTGACACCTAAAAACTATTGACCTAATCCCACCTGCAGTGCTCCCACCCCTGATTGATTCTTCCTCATACCCCTGCCTGAATTCATCCTGGAAAGGAGCTCGCTCCTTTGGCACTAACACTTAGAAAGTTCCTCATTACAATTAGCAAAAAATCATCTCCTTATACCTGCCTGACATTAGTCCTACTTTCCCTCAACTCCCTATGGACACAGAATAAATCTAACCCCATATAATCCATACTGGCATACCTGCATCCACTCCTCTGTTTCTTCAAATGCTCTCCCTAAATCATGCCCAGGTTTTCTCCACCTCTTCTTGTCTGCACCAAGAATTCTCTGCTTCATCCTGGTGTCTCTGGGAAGTCCCTACGACCCACAGGCCTCAGAGCCAGTGTTACCAACTCCATTAAGATTTCCCCAACCACTCACCCTTCTCAAGAATACAAGGGCTTCCTCCTGTAAGACCACAGAACTTTCTGGTACTCCCACCACTGCACTTCAGATACAGAATTGCAATCCCTCCTCTGCAGGTCTGATCATCACCCATGAAAGCTAAGCCCAGGTCAAAGTCCACACATTCCAGATCCCAGCAGGGAGCTGGTTCTCAGTGAGCATTTATGGACAAACTGGGGGGGGGGGGATAGGATGGCCCTAGGACCCTATGGAGCTGGACACCATGGTTGCAGCAGAAGCAGGTCCTTTGCAGGGAGGATGCTGGGCTTGTGTGGTGGGTGTGAGGACCTGAAGGCAGGTGGGGTGCCTGCCGCCCAACAGCCCAGAGTAGTCCGGCAGAGGGCAGAGCAGCTGGGCAGCAGTATGCCCAGAGCACAGACTTTCTCAGATATCAAGAGTTCTTCCTATTGCCTTATTTTCTGCTAACTCAATCTGGATATAGAAGACTATTCTAGATTCCAGGAGAAGGTCTGACCGCAAGCCACTCTCACAGGGGTCTTGGGGTTTTCTGTGAGCACAGATCAGCTCCACAGAGCCCATCAAGGTGATTCAACCTCTTCCCTCCCATTAGCCCTTCCATTCCAAAAAGTAAAAATCTGGTTCTCTGAAGTAGAGAGGTGAGCAGGCTTCTTCTCTCAGACAGACAGCAAGTGTGTCTGTGTCAAGTGGGAATTGATGGCTACCTCTATGATTAATAAGTCCTTTTGGGAAACAAGAACTTTAGGGATTTCCCCGCCATTGTAGTGACTACAGACCAGAGACAGCTGTCATCAGATGACTTGCTGTCAATGCCTGGAAAGACAAGCTGCCCTCCTTTGGAGGGATTAGAGTGGAACCTGAACTTCCGGGCGACTTTCTGGGAGAGGTGAGGAAGCAGCAGTGGCCTTAGGGACTGACTCTGCCAGATGCTTCAGGGTGCCCTACAAGAGCCTCAGGGCCTGGGGGGGGTGGGGGCTACAGGATGTGGGAGAAATGAGCTCACTAATGCAGTATATCAGGCACCGTGTAATACTCCAAGGGGCCACCCTGGTAGTTAAGGCCTGACCCTGGGGTCAAGGAGCTTCCAAGCATGTGGGGGAGACAAGGCAGCTCCTCAAAGATTCTAATATGGAGAGTGAAAGGCCAGGGAGGTGTGAAGCTCAGTGGGGCTTTGAGGTGGGAATGACACCCTTCACTGGAACTGTCTCCTAGAGAGGTTGAGTGTCAGAGTGGCAGGAGATTGTAGCAGGAGTCCTCCTCCATGCACAAGGGGCACTACAGAGAGAGGACCACGCGTGCAAAGGCTGGAAGTGGCAGGTGACCACACGTGCAAAGGCTGGAAGTGGCAGAGATGGGCTTTGAGCTGGACTGAGGAGGCTTGTAAGGGAGAGTGAGGAGAGCAGGGTGGGTATGGAGCCAGAGAGCTGCACGCACCTGTAGACTAGGGGCTGAAGCAGTGCAGGATGGAGCAGAAAACAATACAATCACATTTGCATTTCAGAGAAGTCTCTGTCTGTGGCTTATGCAGTGGACTTGGGGTGGGAGTGGAACCACAGTCCTGACACAGCATGCTAGGAGGCCGTCCCAGCAGCACAGGTGAGAACTAACCAGAGGCTGAGGTGGTGCCTCTCAGCAAAGGCAAATTGAGTCAGAGGCTCAAACTACCCCAGGCTTCATCCCAAACAGGCAAGGTGCAGCCCACAGTCCCTAAAGGATATATAAGATTATTCTGATACTAGCCAAGACCTTGCCAGGAAGAAAGGCCTCAGCTTTCGCCAGCCCAGTGAAGCAACATTACGCAACCCTGCCATAGGCCTGCTTGGAGGTGAACTCCAAAATCCACCCTCAAGGTCCTGCCTCCCCAGTAGTTGCTCAAAATTTATATTTTAAGAAAACCCTGTGTCATGGATTTTGACATTCCAATTACCAAAGAAGCAGCAGGATAGAACAACTGGTTGCTCAAGTCCTGTTGCCTCTCAGAGTTGTCACCTGAAACACCCTTCTATCCCTAGACTCTGAGCAGTCCTGGGCTGGACTGGACCCCCATTATGGCCGCAAAAATCCCCCAGACACAAGAGACAGGGAACAGGTGCTCCTTGGGAGAGCTGCTGGCCCCTGTCTAAGAATCCAGGCTCCCCCTTTTCTCCATGAGTTCTCCCATTTTTTCTCAGGTACCCAGAACTATCACAG